TTTAGGGTTTAGGGCTCCTTTGAGGGTTCTATAGGTTTCTTAAAGGCTCCTTTCGGGGTTCTATAGGTTTCTTAAGGGCTCCTTTCAGGGTTCTACAAGGGTTCTGGTTTAGGGTTTAGGTTTTAGGGTTTAGAGTTTAGGGTTTACTTAAAGGATCATGGGACTGAGCAAGTAAGGTTATACGTCCTTTAGTTGGGGGTTATAAGTATAGTTAGCTTAGTTAGAACCTTACTTACTAAGACCCATGATCCGTAAGAGTTCAGGTTTAGGGTTTAGGGTTTAGGATGCTGTTCCCTAAGGCTCCATGTACCCATATAGCATATACTAAGGCTTTAAAGTGGGTATATAGGGAGGACTACTTTAAGGCCTAAGCATACACAAAATGGGCACATGGAGCCTGAGGGGTTTCGGGTTCTATAAGGGTTCAGCACGTTCAGGGTTCGGCGGTAGGGGTTTAGGGTTTCGGGGTTTTCTTCTTTATATGGGGCTTAAGGGTTTAAAGGCTCTGGGGTTTGGGGGTTCTGCTGTTTGGGCGTTTTGGGTTTACAGGGGTCTAGCGGTTTTAGGGGTCGGATTTGGGATTTTGGGGTTTTAGGTTTCAAAGGCCGGCACCACAAAGCCCGCCCAACGACAAAGACCCCTAAACCCTAAACCCTAAACCGTTGCCTAAACCCTAAGCCCTAAACCCTAAGCCCTAAGCCCAAAGACAAAGACCCCGACCCAAGGCGATTTTCAGCCCAGGGCTTTGATACAGATCAGAGGCGAAGCCCTCACGGAAGGATGACTTACTGCAGGGGCCTTAATAATTACCCATTATTTCGGGGGGCTCATTATTATTATTATTGTTATTAATATTTATTAGTATATATATATATATATATATATATTGGGCCCCAAGACCCTATTCTAATCATTAAGGCCCCTACATTACAGGCATGAAGGCCGTCCACAACAATATCAGATCAGGCTGCAGGGAGACTCGTTATCAGTGTTTTTCCATACATACACTCTATGACGACATGATGCAAAGGAGTCGTTGTTGATCGTGTTATCGTGCATTGGAAAACCCGATCTGTATCACACGAGTTGGAATGACATCGCCTTGAAAACCCTAAATAGCTAAACGACACCATGCCCCAGACCTTATTCCAGCTCTGCTAACCCTAAACCCTACAAGCGCCGAAGATGCAGGTACACACGGACATGCCCGCCGTGCGATTGGATCTAGCAGAGGTCATCCAGGAGTGATCGTTAGGGTTTAGAGAAACTTCCTTGGCAGGGATGTTTCGAAACGTAGTGCTTCCCTGTGTTGAAGCGTTTACTTACAGGAACATGGGACTGAGTCACTTGGGTCATAAGAAAGAAGATTAAGTAAAAGACTGTGTATTGAATAACCACCCCAACAGATACAACTTCAAGCTACTATTAAAACTTAAAAGCTCCATATGTACTACTATCATGAAAGTAAGGCCCAAAAGACCATACTTCTTATGGCTTTAGGGACCTAACTCCGTAGTGGTAGTATAGATGGAGCCTCTGGGTAACCTTGCTTATCCCTAAACCCTGAACCCTAAACCTTAAAATACCTTCCAAACGAAATCTCCTCATCCTCCAAGACAGTAGACATCAATGGCAACTTCGGGCTGGCCATCTCAAGGATCCAGATCAAGTCAGACTCAGTCATAATCTAGATCGTATTTCATAAGGTTCAATATACCGTGATTGTTATGGTTATGACTATAATGATGATAGTTAGTTCTGTGCGCTGCGAGGTCAAGTGTTCCAAGTCTTCAGAAGTGAGTTTTAGTACAAGCCAATATACTATAGAAAACTCATATACAGAAATATCTAAGGTGTGACCTAAGACAACATGAGATATCAGAATCTATCCTAACCCGAATCTAACCTAACATGAATCTACGCTCGTCTAACCTCATACCTAACCTTCTGGAAGAAGGTAAAACCATGGCCTAGCACCTAAAAAAGGCGACTATGATGCATACTTGCGGGGTTCAGGAAGCTTAAAACCTAAACAAGTAATGTAGGAGCCTTAATTAGAACAGGGTTTTGGGGCCCACCATACTATAATCACAATAAGGAGCCCCCCCAAAACAGTATAGGGAATTACAAAGGACCCTAAATAACATCCCTAAAGCCTTGGCACGTCGCAGGACAAGCCACCGGCTGTCGACGCAGCTTGGACCCAAGTACAGACCGTGACTTGCAGAGCTGTAATCTTCCCGCCGCGAAAGCTTTAGGGTTTAGGGGTCTAGAGTTGAGGGCCCAGCCAAAAACTCAAACTCAAACTCCCACCATCCGTGACCTGAGCCTCTAAGCCTGTGATACCCCTTTGAGCTCACACTTCGCCCCCAAAGGCCCCTACAAAGCACCTTAACCCTCAACCCTAAACCCTAAACCCTAACCCTATGCTTGGATGCCGGTTCGAGGCAGAGTCCCCGATGCAGCTTCCCGTGGCCACCGGCCAGGTCTCTTGGCGTTTCTTTCCCAAAGGGTCCAAAGGACCTATCATAGTAGAATGTAGGGTTTCTATGAGGGTTTATTAGGGTTCCTTAAAGGGTCCAAAGGACCTATCATAGTAGAATGCAGGGCTTCTATAAGGGTTTAGGGCTTAGGGTTCCTTAAAGGGTCTAAAGGACCTATCATGCTAGAATGTAGGGTTTCTTTCTTAGGAACTGCCTATTATGATTTGGGAAAGTATCCCCCATAACAGTACCTAGGACCCTTTGGGTTTTGGGGGGTTCGGAATAGCATGAATTTATCAAGCAACTAGTGTCTCCAAACAGTCGATGCTATGTATGAATGAACGAAAGTGTGGGTGTATATATATATATATATGTGTGTATATACATACTTATATTATTATACATATACACATACATACCCAAAGGGTCCTAGGTACTGTTATGGGGGATACTTTCCCAAATCATGATCATAATTGCTAATGAAGAAACCCTACATTCTACTATATAGGTACTTTGGGCCCTTTGGCATATACACATACACAGACACATACAGATGCGTATACCTTACATACATACATACATACATACATACATACATGCAAACACGTATGTATATACACATAGATACCTGCGTGTATGCATGTATGTATGTATGTATGTACGTATGTATGTATGTATGCATGCATGCATGTATGTATGCATGTCTGTATGTGTGCATGCGAATTCAGAAATATATAGAACGAGAGAGAGAGAAAGAGAGAGATAGAGAGGTGTGTGCATGTATGTGTGTACGTATGTGTGTATATATATATATATATACATAGACATATTTATACACACACACAGTGCCGGCAGAGGTTTCTGCTGGGGTTCAGGGGCTTCTTGAAACGCAAGAAGGTCCGAATGTATCGCAGCTTACGAACATTAAAAGCTTTAAGGACGAGTGCAAAGGTGTAGGGTTGAGGGTTTAGGCTTTATAGGACCCAGAGACTCCAATATTCCTTAACTAAGGAATATTCCTTAAATTATAGTAGGATCCTTAATATGGTTTAAGGAATATTCCTTAATTAAGGGATATTGGAGTCTCTGGGAAAACACAAAAATAGCCTGAATGTATCGCAGCTTACGAACACTAAAAAGCCTTAAGGACGAGTGCAAAGGCTTAGGGTTGAGGCTTGAGGCTTTATGGGTGTCTAAAACACAAAAAATAGCACGAATGTATCGCAGCTTAGGAACACTGAAAGCCTTAAGGACGAGTGCAAAGGTGCAGGGTTGAGGGTTTAGGGTTTTGTAGGACCCAGAGATTCCTATATTCCTTAACTAAGGAATATTCCTTAGATTATAGTAGGATCCTTAATATGGTTTAAGGAATATTCCTGAATTAAGGGATATTGGAGTCTCTGGGGAGTTCCGACCATCGGGTCAGAACTGAGTTGCAGGCCGAAGTGCAGGCGGAAGAGAGGCCAGAAGATGCGCTAGAGGCAGGAATTCGGCTTGGGCTGAAGTGGTTTGGAGACTATCATGTAGGTTATCAGGACCACTGGGAGTCTGAGCCGAGGGTTTAGGGTTTAGGGTTCAGGGTTTAGGGGTTTAGGGTTTAGGGTTTAGGTTTAGAAGGGTTCCGGGTTTAGGGTTTAGGGTTCAAACCGTCGCCGCACGCTGGCACTCCTCGAAAAGCATGCATCTAGGACACGGTCGAGTGTTTGGGGGTTTAGAGATTTTGGGCGGTTTTGGGCTCTAGGGGTGTTGGGGCGTAGGGCTCTAGGATTTAAGGGTTTGGGATTTAGGGCTGAGGACAATGACCCTCCCGTAGCCCATAGGGTAAAGCCCTTATAGAAGAAACTGGTCACTATCTCTCGCCCTTCTTATTGCTTTAGCCCAATGAGTAGCCTGTTTGAACCATGAAAGTAGCCTTAAGTTAGAGTACAACATGATGAGAGCCCTTGTAGTAAAGCTCTTATCGTAGCCGTTCGTGTAGAGCCTTTATATAAACCCCCACCCCAAGCCCTGATAAGCCCCAAAACCTAAAGCCCAAACCCGACTCATAAACCCTAAACCCTAAACCCAACCCTAAACCCCAAACCCCAAACCCCAAACCCCAAACCCCAAACCCTAAACCCTAAACCCTAAGCCCTAAACCCGAACCCGAAGCCCTCATAAGCCTACGGCTCCCGGGGCTTCGGATGATGTTAGGATCCGAGGTCGGGATTGCGGGTTCCTTTAAGGGCTCGTGTAAGGGTTCTAGAAGGCTTCTACAATCCCAAGGGGTCATCGGGCCTGTTAGGGGGGAAAACAACAATTCCGAGCATAGAAGCCCTACGTTCTACTAGATACTCTAAACCCCTAAACCCAAAGCCCTAAACCCTAAACCGTTAGATATCTACTTTGGACACTGTGGGAATGGATGTATAGGAGTCTGGGAGTCTAGGGGAGGGGTTTGTGGTTTAGGGTTTAGGGTTTAAGGGTTTAGTGAGCAACATTGAAACACAACCACGCTTGCAGTTGCTGGGAGGGCCATGCTGACGACACGCTACATCAAAAACCCTGAACCCCTAAACCTCTTTCCCCCAAAGTCCCCCCCAAAACCTTAAACCCTAAACCGTAAACCCAAACCCCTTTCAAAAACCTCCTAACCCCCTAACTCCGGCAAACCCTAAACCCAAAACATTTGAATGCCAAAACCCCAAACCCCTTAACGATAAACGCCCAAACCCGTAAACCCTTAACCCCAAACCCCAAAATATACCCCTAAACCCCTTAAGCTCCAAACCTCAAAATCATCCCCTAAACTCTAAAGCCCCGAAGCCCCTAAATTCTTTAAAGGAACTCTTTAAAGGATCCTCCACCTGAGAGCACTAAACCCTAAAACCCTAAACCCTAAACCCTAAACCCTAATGTAAGGGACCCATCTTAGCCGCAGGCTCCGCCGAATCCCGAGCCGGAGGCGCAGGTGGAGCCGGAAAAGAAGGCTGAGGAGAGCTTGCCTACGGCTGACCGGTTCAGGGTTTAGGGGTTTGGGGGTTTAGGGGTTAGGGGGTTTAGGGTTTAGGGTTTAGGGTTTAGGGTTTAGGGTTACGGCTGACCCTTATAGTAGCCCTTGTAGTAAGTAATTCGTCTAAACCACTTTAAGAACCCTTTAAAGGACCCCTCGTCTAATTACTAATTCCTAAACTCCTAAACCCCTAAACCCCTAAACCCTAAGCCCTAAACCCCTAAACCCCTAAACCCTAAACTCCTGAACCCAAAGCTCCTGATTCCAAAACCCTATAAACCCCCAAATCTCCTAAACCCCACACATCCTATACGCTAGGCTCCATAACCCTAGACCCTAAACTCCTAGGTGGGGGCTCTAGGAGCTAGGCTTATAGGGGGTTTAGGACCTGCGGTTGATGAGATTACCTTACAAGGACCCTAAACTCTCGGAATTCTGGTATATGCCTTCTTATGGTATATTCCTTAGTATGGGATATTCCCTAACATGGGTAGCTACCTTAAGTCCTTAATTATGGGACATTCCTTATCCTGGTATATTTCTCATCATGGATAGTTACCTTAAGGGCCTTAAAAACTATGGGAGTTATACATTATTCCTTATGATGGGTAGTGCAGGATTTATACCATCAGCCGTAGGGCTCTGTATACCTGAAAGCAGGGGAAACCTAAACCCTAAACCGCTAAACCCTCAACCCTAAACCCTCAACCCTAAACCCTAAACCCCTAAACCCCCAACCCTAAACCCCGAAACCCTAAACCTCTAAACCCTCAACCCAAAACCCCTAAACCCCTAAACCCTGA